TCTGTTAACCTCACCATACCTGAATGATAATAAAACCTACATTTTAAAACAGGTTCCCTCAACTCTCCCTGGGAATATTGTCCACCTCATGCCACCCAAATCTATACCCTAACCCTAAACCTCTCTTCTAGGCTTCAGGCCTCGTATGTCCTGCTTTATATTGGGCACCTCCACATGCCTGTCCCAGGGGCACCTAAGCCCACCTTCTCCCACCCCCAAACTATATCTTATCCCGTATCCCCTATCTTGGGAATGACACCACCATCCATCCAGTCATACAATGCAAAACATGGGAGCCCTTCCAGGCAGTCCCCTAAGCTCTTCCCCATAGTCCATAATGTCTACTCCATACTTAACACGTTGTATTGTCATTGCCTGATTCCAGTTGTATGTGTCACCTGCTGCTCTTCATGATCCGTGAGGTTTAGGGGCCATATCTCCGTTATTCCCGCCGTATCCTCAGAGCCTAGGATAATACTTGATAAATGTATGAATTAATAAAGAAGTGAATGTTGAAGAGGAGGACTGGCCCAGAGACAAAATTGTAAATTATGGGAGAGGCAAGGTGTCCCCAGCCTGCCCTCTTCCGTCCGTCTGAGCTGCCTCCTGTTGTAAAGGGAGCAGCCTTTTACACCGGGGGACTGAGCTGATGAGTGTTTACTGGGACTGAGTTCCGGGCAATGTCCCATCTCGGGCAGTTCCTAGCACTTTATCCCTTATGTGCCTCCTACCAAAGGGAATAGTATCAGGCATTAGGAAACACACAGAGGCTCACCGCTTCCCTGGGATGGGCCACCTCCCACTGCCTGTCCCATTGCTGAGCTACTAGGGCAACAGAGCCTGTGTCAGGGCTTCTTGGAATCAAAGAATGTGAGCACTGGAAGGTGGTGTAGGCCTTTGGCATTAGAAAATGAGACTTTCCAGATTTCGACAATTACGGAGGAACCAGGGCATCCATGTCATGAGGGACTCGTGTGGCCTGAGGTGTATTCTGACCCGCGCACCACATGGTTGGAGTGTCCGAGGGTGGCACAGCCCGTCCTTGAGCCTGGCTGCCCACAACCCTTGCATGCCAGAGGAACTTTTTGGTCTCTATGCCTGTCCCGTATGCAGTCATTTGGCGAAGTGAGAAAGAAAACTGTAGTGAAATCTGGATGGTGGTTAGCTTGTGGTGTGTAGCAGTGCCAAGGGAGACGTGATTCTCAGTGGAAATGTGCTTTCTGGAGAAAGCCAAGAGCCCATGGGAACATTTGGGTATCTACGAACTTGATTTATGAAACTCTCCGTTCTTCCTCCTTAAAATGTCAAGTGATTAAAATTCTTAGAAGTTATCATGAGACCCTCCACCTGGTGATAGAAGCCTCGACACCTCTGCTGGTTGGGCACCGTTTGTCCACCCCCAGGGAATGGGACTCGGGGTCCTCATTACAGAGCCCTGACCTACAAGGCTGCCCCAGCCTTACACCTTCCTCTGGACTGAGTTCCCACATGGAGAGTGAGGAGACCCTTCAAGGGGGTCACTCTGATGCTTCCATTTAGACATAGAGTTATTTTGATAGGGCCTTAAAAACAAACCATGACAGTTAAACTTTTTTTTTAACCAATTAGTGTTTAAAACAGATCCCTCTTACTCTTTCCTCCAAGCCTGACCTTCGTGGTGGGGCTCTGAGGCAGTGTGAGGGCTTAGAGCTGGGATGGGATGAGACTTAGAGAAGAGTGTCTGGAAAGAGGGGTGTTCAGAAATGGGTGGGTGTATGGATTGAGTTTTGTCCCCAAAAAAGATGGGATAAAGTTCTAACCCTCAGCACCTGTGAATATGACCTTAATTGGAAATCAGGTCTTTGCAGGTGTAATCAAGTTAAGATGAGGTCATTAGGGTGGGTCTAATCTAAGAGGACTGGTGTCCTTATAAAGAAAAGAAAATGCCATGCGAAGACAGAGACGCACAGGAAGAACGCCATGGGATGATGGAGGCAGAGATCAGGGTGATGCGTTACAAGCCAAGGAATGCCCAAGATTGCCAGCAAACCACGAGAACCTGGGGAGAGACCTGGAACAGATTCTTCCTCACAGCCTCAGAAGGAACCAGCCCTGCTGACACCTTGATTTTGGACTTTTAGCCTCCAGAACTATGAGAGAATAAGTTTCTGTTGTTTTAACCCACCCAGTTTATGGTACTTTGTTACAGCAGCCCTAGGAAACTAATACCACGGGCAAGAGGGCCGGTGGTTCTCAGACTTGAGCATGCAGCAGGATTACCCAGAGGGCTTGTTAAAACAGAGCGCTGAGCCTCTACCCCGGAGCGCCTGGTTCAGCAGGTCTGGGATGGGGCTCAAGAGCTTGCATTTCTAACATGTCTGCAGGTGGTGCTGATGCTGCTGACCCAGGGACCACATTTTGAGCACCACTGCTCTAGGGGCTAGGGTGTGGCTAGGCATCAGGACCTTCTCGTCCGAGTAATAATGAGATGTACATCCTACTGATATGAGTTGTGCCAGCCCACTTAGAAAACTTCATGTGGCCACAGTCAGTTTTCATTTTAAATGATTTCTTTAGTTTTAAATGACTTACAGGTGTGTTGATTCATGGACGGACACACACACACACACACACACACACACACACACACACCCCATGTCCCTATTTTACAGATAAGGAAAGTGAGGCTCGGGTGCAGGTGTGAATCCTCTGCAGGACACTTGTCCCTCCTGACTCCCTGAGCTCAGGATTCTGCGCTCAGAGCTTGGCCTTGGAGCATCCCTGGCTAGTGCAGCCCCTGGAACTCAGCTTTCCCTCTTTGTAAATCACACCCATCATCGCCTTGTTGAAAAGAAAGACGTCCCCGTCCACCTGCGGCCAGCGCTGCAAACCAAGGGTGCATCTCAGCTCCGGTCTCCCGCACCCGCTGTTGCCGCTTCCTGCCTTCCTGTGGGATCTCCTGATCTCCGTCCTCTTTCCTGATCCTGTTTTGTTCCCAAATGCCCTCCGGATGTGACTTCCTCCTTCCTGCCTCTACGTGCTCAGAACAAACCTGCCCTAAGCAGCTTTGGAGCTGAGAAGCCTGGCGTGCAGGGCGGACGGGTTATGAGAAAGGCCTGAGAGGATGGCCAAGAAGGATTTTTAGCGCCCAGAGTCGGGTCTCGGCAGCCCTGCTTGCCTGGCCCTCTCCAAGGAGGCCTCCTGGTTATGAAGGCAGCTCTGGTCGTCGCTCCTTGTCACTCTGCTGGCTGGCCAGGCCCCCTCTTGCCACCTCCATGCCCTTTGATAAATGCTGGTTAGTGCACACAAGGTGGGAGTACGAGCTTTGACATTTAACCCCGGCCAGGTGGGGACAAACTGTGGGCACCTGTGAGGTGTACTCAGAGAGGCTGACACAGGGTGCAGGGGTGGACCTTTCAGCTGAGGTTCAGCGTCTTGAATCCATAGGGCCCCAAGAATGCAGTTCCCAATTCTCTAAGCCTTTGACCCCTCCCCCAGCAGGCCAGAAGCACCTCCACTGTGCACACTGGCCGTCACATCCCCAGGACCGACATTCAGGGCTGGACCTGTCTGGCCACAGGGGCCCACGGCCATGTGTCTGTAGGTAACCCCGAGGCTGAGTGTCCTCCCTGCCTGAGCCCAGTGGAGCCAGAGACAGGGGCAGAATGGAGGAAAAGCACACCCAGAACCCTGACATGAGCCCCTGAGGGCTTTTCATGCCATGTAATGGACCAGACTGCATGAGAGGAATTATCCTCATCACCTCGAACCAGTGGGAACAGCCTGAGCGCGAACTCTCATTACAGGCGTACTGCGAGCTGTAAGGCCACGTACAGAGAGAAGGGGGCCCAGCCACAGGCATGTCTCAGGAACTTACAGCCTGGGTGCTGCATGAGACCATCCCCTCTCAAGAGAGCAGAGTGTGAAGCCCTACACAGAAGGGAATCGAGTGCCCAAACGTAGTCAGAAATTGTGAGATGCAAGAAGAGGGTCATCAGGAGCAGAAGGAGGTCACTGTGGGGCAGTGACTGGGGACGACCTCACTGGGGAGACTGGGGACGTCTGAAGCTTGAAGTTGGAGGGACAGAGGGAAGAGTGAGGGGCTGACCAGGGCGGGAATGGCCGCTGAGGCAACTGGCAGGGAGGGCTGGGGCCCGCAGGGCCAGGATGTCGCGCTGCCCTGCTGCTCCCGCATTTTGGCAGAGAGGCACGTGTTTTATTTTACAAAATGGAAAATCACGCATGTCCAAATGCTCTGTGCATTGCTTTCAACTCAAGAAGGTGCAGTGAAAGGTTTGTTTTGATCTAACATCAACAACACTTACGTGGATAAGCACTTTCTGACACTCACAAAACAAATGAAAAAATTGCGCCTGCTTTTCTGACTTTTTTCCTTTCCTCAGCGTTGTTCCCAGTTACACCAGCGATACAGGAATGCCTTCTCAACGCACCAGATTCAAACTTTCATACAAAAGTTAAGACCAAGTCCCTCACCCATCACTCCCTCTCCCCAACCCCAGAGCCATCCAGGTCAATAACTTGGTGTGCATCCTCCCCGGGTTTTCTGCCTTTTTCAGGAAAACCTTGGCATTTTTGTAAATGTTAACTCCAAGCTTTTAGAAATTTTGTTTTGGGGGAAGGAGTATTTTTGGTCTTTATAACATTTCGCCTCCCCAGATTTGAAACATAGACTAAACTGTTGGTCTAGTACTCAGCCAAGGATTCCTTTGGTCTTGTCTGCATTCACCATGAAAATACTCCTTTCCCAGAAGAAATGGCACACGCCCCTTCAGGGGCCAAGGAGCTCCAGCGTTATTTATTAGGATACGTTAGAAGTGGATTCATCGTGAAGCTAATGGAATTTAAGCTTTAGGGCTACTTGCTTACCATCCAAGACTCTACACCTAATTTTGCTTTTATTTTGTCTTCTTTTTCTTAAAGAGCCCACCTCCAAATTGTATAAGCTTCAGGCCCCCAATCCTGGAGAGCTCCCTAGACACAGTCTTAAAGCCAATGGCCCATTAGACTTTATTCTCCTCGAAGGGCACGGAGTCGCCAGTCTGGTTGACACTTGGTATTTCTGAGGAAGATTTTCCCAGGGTGGAGGAGGAGGATGCTGACGCTCTGAGTTTTAAAATGCCCAGGAGCCATTTCCTGTAACGTGTAGATGCAAAGAAGTAAATGACGGGGTCAATGCTACAGTTCATGTTCATGAGGGACACGGTGAGCTGCAGGGACAGTTTGAAAGCCCTCTGCTCGGGGCAGGAGGGCAGGCGGAGCATCTCTCTCACCATGAACTGGATGATGTTGAGATGGTAGGGGCTGAAGCACACAACCGCGGTGACCAGCACCACCAGCGTGAGCAGGCAGGCCCTCCGGTGGTGCCCTTTCTCACGCGTCAGAGGGTTGTCCCGGGCTGTCTTGCACAGCTTCAAGGTGACCTTCACATAACAAAATAGTATGATCCCCACTGGCCCACAGAAGCTTATAGCACAGGCCACTAGGACCATGAGGGGCAGCCAGAGGACCCCCTTGATGCTGACGTACTCCATGCAGGTCAACTTGCCCGCCACAGGCTTGGTCATGGAGATCAGGAGCAGGGGCGCCGTCTGCAGAAACGCCAGGGCCCAGACAGCCACGCAGACCAGCCTTGCTCTGCCGGCGTTGCGGAGCCGGGGGCGCTGGTGGGTGTGGACCACAGCCAGGTAACGGTCCACGCTCACGCACGTCATGAGATAGATGCCCCCATAGGTGTTCACGTAGAATATGAACGCCGTCAGCCTGCAGAGCCCTTCACCAAAGGGCCAGCTGAAATCCAGCACGTAATAGGTGATCTTTCCAGGCAGGGCCAGGGTGAACAGGAGGTCGGACACTGCCAGGTGGACCAAGTAGACACCTGTTGAGTTGATCTTCTTGCCCTTTTGACAGGCGAGGCAAAGGGCAAGGATGTTCCCCAGGGCGCTGAAGACCAAGAGGGCTGTGTAGAACAGAGAAAGCATCACGCTGGCCGCCCGGGGTGGGTGGTGAGGAAGGCAGAAGTTGGTATTGTGGGGGATGCTGCTTGGGTCAGCCGTGCTGGAAGCCATGTCATAGATGTCCTTGGGGAAATAAAAAATTTAAAATGTGATATTGAATCGGTGGGGTTATGCCTCTGTATAGCAATAATTAATACTTTACTGAGGCAACAGGCACATGAAAAACATATCTCTTTTTAAGTAAACTTTTTGTTGAAGTGTAACATACCATTCCAGTTACTACTGCTGTGTCACAAATTGCCCCCAAACCTTAGCAGCTTAAAACATACTTTATTATGCTCACAGTCAGGTTTTGAACAGGACACAGTGGGAATGGCTTTTTTCTGCTTTCCAATGTTGAGAGCTCCAGCTAGGAAGAGTCAGCAGCTGGGGGTTAATCAATGGCAGAGGCTGGAACCTCTGCCTCTGGAGGTGACTTCACTCAAATGTATGGTGGTTGATGCTGGCTTTTGGCTGGAGCCTCAGCTGGGGCTCCTCATGAGACTTGGGCTTCCTCACAGCATGGCAGCCCAAGGGCTATTAGGTTTCTTACACAGCAGCTTGAGTTTCCAGAAGAGAGTGTTCCAGAACCTGGGTAGAAGCTCCGTGTATTATCCATGTTTTTTATTTTCTGTATTCTCATGCTTTGACATCTTGGGGCCTTGCTGACCCTGGAAGGACTGACCCTCCCTGGGTTAGCCAATTCCTCGAGTGTACTTTCAAATGCAGACTAACCAATCCAGAGCCCATTTCCCCAACCACCTCCTCTATTGGGCCCTCACACTCTGGGCCACTATCCGCCTGCCCTAATAACCCAGGGCCAAGTACCAGACAGCTAGGGGCAGCCCCAATGCCCCAGAGCCCACTGAGATGATCCAGACTAGCTGATCCTCAGCCTGATTCCCCTGCCTCGCCTGTTCCTCCCCACAGAAGCCACAATAAAGGCTCTTGCCTACATTTCTGCCCCTCTCCCTCTGTCTCCTGACCAACCCCAGTGCTTCCCCCTTCTTGCCACCTGTGGTGTGGCATTCCCCCTCTTCTTGGGATCTGTGAGTAACAAACGTTTCCAATGGCGATCATCTCCTGATCTGTTGGCCTTATTGAACCTCAAGTTTTCTATTAATACACTATCCTTTAAAACACTGCGTCACCTTTTCTAACCTAGCCCTGGAAGTGTTGCATTATCACTTCCACCACCTTCTATCCATTACAAGCGAGTCACAAGCCCACCCAGCATCAAGAGACGGGGACATAGACCCCACCTCTCGACAGGAGGAACATCAAAGAATTTACAGCCATTTTAAAATCACAACACATACAGGCAAAAACGTGCACAAATCATCAAAATACAGCTTGACGATTTTCACAAAGTGAACATCCATGTGATCAGCACCCGGATTAGGAAACACACCTCACCAGCCCCCCAGAAACTCTGCTTTGCCCACCCCAACCTCTACCTCCACTAAGGGTAAACACTACCCTCACTTCCAAAATCACAACTCTGTTTTGCCTGCTTCTGAACTTTAAATCAATGAAATCATGCACTATGTATGTGTATTTATACACATATAGCTTCTTTGGCTCGACGTTAGTTGTGAGACTCACCTACACTGTCAGGTGTAGTGTAGTTTGCTCATTCTCATTGCTGTGTGGTATTCTGTTGTGCGAATGCACCACCATCTATCCATCCTGCTGTTGATTAACATTTGAGTTGTTTCCGGTTTGGGGAGATGGTATAAAGTTCTGCTATGCATGCTCTTTCACATGTCTTTGGTGAAACAATAATATACATTTTGCTGAGTGTACAGCTAGGAGTGGAACTGGTGAGTCACAGGTTCTGCACATGTTTAGTTTTAGTAGGTCCTGGCAAACAGTTTGCCAAAGTAGCTGCTCTTAATACTCCCAACAGCAGATGAGAGTTCCCGTGGCTCCTCATCCCACCAACATTTGGCATCATCAGTCTTTTTCAGGTGAGCCATGTTGGTGGGTGTGCAGGGGTATCTTGTAGTTTTAGTTGGCATTTCCCTGATGACCACTGACGTTGAGCACCTTCTCACATGATTATTGGCTGTTTAGGTATCTTTTTTCTGAAGTGCCTGTATGAATACTTTGTCCCCTTTTCTATTGGGTTGTCTGTCAAAAACGTGTATGTGTTCCTATTTCCAACCCATTTTTCTCAGTCTGCTGAATTAGCCTTGTCTTCATTTTACACCCCTCCATTTCTATCATCTGCATTCTGATCATCCTTTAACTTTTAATTTCCACACTGTGAGAAGAAGAGCTGGGGTGGGTCTACCCAGTGCTCTCCACACAGCAAGTGGGGTCTGTGTGATTGACCACGTGGTGCACAGGTAAGCACTAAGGTGCACAGGATGTGTGGTTTGCCCAAGGGCCACAGTAGCTCATAGAACCAGGACCAGAGACCCAGGTCAAGAATGCTGAACTTCTACAGTCAGATGCTGACTTGAGGGCACCAGCTCTATGAGCCCCCAAACCTCACTTGAGTCAGGACACAGCTGTCCCCTCCTTTACCAATTTGGGGCTGGCTGGTGGGAGCCTGCTATAGATTTTGCCTCGTTTCAACCTAGGCAAAGAAAGCTCTGTCCAGTCTCTGCAGATAGAGAAGGGGCCTCCATTCAAATGGAAACTAGGAGAAGTCAGGCTGAATGGTAGAGAGAGGAGCACTGAAAAGCCCTTTGAACCTCAGGATGATGGATAGATGGATGGATGGATGGTTGGATGGATGGATGGATGTTTGGGTGGCTGGCTGGCTGGCTGGCTGGGTGGATGGATGGATGGATGGATGGACAGATGGAGGATAAAGATGATAGAGATGATGGAGGGATAGAGATAGACAGTTAGATAGTCAGACTCCCTAAAAAAATAATTAAAAACATATTTTAAATTATATCAAGAATTTCCCAAGTGCTATGCTGGCTACTGGTTATATTCAGAAGTTGCAAAAGAATTGAGTCTTTATCGTCTGAAGGTTATGCTTGGGTTGAAAAGATAAAGTAGGCAGGTGAAAAACTGCTAAATAGAGAAGCCGTTCTGAGTGCTCTTTATACTTTTCTTTCTACTTAGTTGGACAGGGTAAAACACCAGTACAATAATAAATTTGTTAAAACCCACACAATTCCCCTTCTGCTATGTTGTTTTATATTGTTCTTTCTATTTACAAATTAGACTCATGCAAGAGGATTGTTTTTCTAGCACTCCAAGCCCTTTAATACATAAAGAGGCGTGTGCCTCTTTGAATTGCGCTGAAGAAGCCGCCTTTGCCAGGGTTTGAGGACAGAAATGGAAAGGTGCATCTCGCCTGTTCACACCTTTAGTCCCCGAGCTGCTTCCAGGGAAGGGAGCATGGGGTGAGGGGGGTGGGGAACAAATGGGAGGAAAGGGAAGGAAGTGTCGCTGGAGCACTTTGCCCGGCTCAGGAATTAAGGATGGACCCGCCGGAGAAAGGAATCCCTCCCTTCACACCTCCCCACCTGGGGCTCTGACCACAGTCCTTCACGAAGCCCTTGACTCTGATTCTCTGAGAATAGAGATTCAGATTTGCTCAGAGACTGGAGAAACTGCCCCAGGATGGCCTCCTGCCTGCCCTGGGACAGATGCCTGAGGAAGAGGCTGCTCCCTCCTCTCTCACACACAGTCTCTCATGCTAACACACAGGCACTCACACACAGGCACTCACACTCTCTCACACATTCACCTCTCACTCTTTCTCACTCCCACACAGTCACTCACACCCCTGTGGAGGTGTGACCCGGGCACCCCAGGAGCGGGCAAGCCAATGCCGTGGCCCTGGGAATCGTACCCCAGGAGTTGAAATCGCTGCCCTTTGGAGTAAGCTCTTCCAAGGAAGAAAAGCTCCAATGCTCTCCCAGGAGTCTTGCCTGCTCTGAATCAATAGGGAAGGCTCTTCTCCCTCATCCCTTCCTTCCCTGAACAATTTGGTCCTCAGGCCACGATGAGCTTCAGTGGCCACAAGGTGGAGGCTGTGGGGAGGGGGGTTCTGTGTGCCCCGATGGGTGTAGGAGCCTGAGCAGGGCAAGGAGAGCTGACTCAAGGGGCCAGTTTAGCTCCGGAGGGTCCCAGCCACAGGTCAACTCACCTTCTGGAATCAACATTTCCAGTCACAGAGTGGCTACTTGACACCTGTTTCAAAGTTATGTGTCTCTTTCCCTGTTTGTTCAGGATTCACAGGGCAAAGAGATGGGACTGGCTCCTAAGGAGACCCCAACCCTTGGCAATTGCCGCCTTCCTGATTTTCCTGGGCCTCCTCCCCAGGACACATCAACACTCAGGGGCTCACCCCGCAGCCCACTACCTTCCTCAGCCGAGGGTGCCTGCGTCTGTCCCTTCGCTGCCCAGCACACATACAACCCCTTGGGGCCATGATGAGTGCCACCTCCTCTCCGAAACCCCAGCCTCTGCAGAACCCGTGAGCCCTCCACCCTCAGTGCTGGCACAGCATTTGAGGGCAGCTCTCAGGTGCATTTCCCACGGTGACTCTCACTCCTCGGTCGTGCCTCCGCAGCTTCCGTGACCACGGGCCCGCAGGCCTCTCCTGGTCTTCTTCCTTTGCTGTTATTTGGCACGAAACGAGTGCTCTGGACGTTGGGTCCTGCTGGAAGCACGGTGGTCTCCCTTTGCAGGGACACCCACAGAGAAGTCACTTCCACGCCCTGAGGAGGGGCAAGCAGGCGCTGTCACAGCTGTGAGTCTAGGGAGGTCAGACCCAAAATAGGAGCCATCCAGAGAGGGACACGCCCCTACACTGGGACGCCTGTCCCCTCTGCTGGTCGGGCTCATCCTCTGGATTGTAGACGTTGGTGCGAACCTCAGCGTGAACTCCACAAGTGGGCTCTACTGCCCAGCGCTGGGACCGGTTGGTCAGGTTTGTGCTCCGTGGGCTCTGAACCTCACCTGCCTGAAGGTATGCTCCTCAGCCGCCCTCTGCACCTGTCACCCCAGCCCCACAGGTTCTCCCCCACAAGCACAAAGCATCCCAGTCCCCCCACCCCGTGCCATCTGCTCCTAGGAAATGAACCAATATTGGTCTTTTG